ACTCTGGGCCTGGGCACTGTCCCTCAGCTCTTCAGCTCAAGGCGAGCGCTCTACCACTTGAGCCATAGCCCCACTTCCGGCTTTTTTTTCTTTTTGTTTATGTGGTGCTGGGGAATCAAACCCAGGGCCTCAGGCATGCAAGGCAAGCGCTCTACCACTGAGCCACCTTCCCAGCCCCGAGAAGGAAATTTTTTGTTACCAGTATAAATGGGAAATTGGTATCATAAGTAGGAAATTACAAAGACAAAAATAAGAACAGACTGATAATAACAATAATTATTTCTTCTTGCTAAAATGCAGAGTATTATGTATGGATTAATTCATTTAATCCTTATATCATCCCTGAGTAAGCTGCTATTGTCATTTTGAAGATGGAAAAGCAGAGGCACAGAGAAACGAAGTAACTGATTGTATTTAATAAGTGACAGGGGACATAAATCCTGACAATTTTGTTTCAGAGCTCCTTTTCATAAGTCTCTACTTCATCTCAGCAGATAAGAGAGACTGTTTCTGATGGAAGATCATGAGACTCTATTTTTATTTTTCATTTTTTGTCAATTGTGGTGCTTGAACTCAGGGCATGAGTCCTATTCCTGAGCTTTTGCACTCAAATCTAGTGCTCTACCATTTTTAGCCACAGAGCCATTTCCAGTTTTCTGGTGGTTAATTGGAGATACGAGTTTCATGGATTTTACTGCTCAGGATAGCTTCGAACTGTGATCCTCAGATCTCAGCCTCTTGAGTAGCAAGGATTACAGGCATGAGCTACCAGCACTGGGCATTAGACTTTATTTAAAAGGAAGATTATTAACAAATATTTATGAGATGATAGATATGCTATTACCTGTGTGAGATTTTCTAAAAGATTCTGAAATTGAAAAAATAACTAGAAAGAGGTAATTTCTGCTTTGGAATTTGAGCTTTTTTTTTTCTTCCTCAAGGCTAGTGCTCTACCACTTGAGCCCTCGCTCTACTTCCATTTTTTTGGTGCTTAACTGGAGATACGAGTCTCAGAGACTTTCTTGCCTGGGCTGGCTTCAAACCATGATCCTCAAATCTCAGCCTCCTATGTAGTTAGGATTACTGGTGTGAGCCACCAGCACCTGACTTTTTTTTTTTTTATTGTAGATAAAGAGTCTCATTCATTTTTTTTTTTTTTCCTGCCTGGGATGGCTTTTAATCACAGTCCTTACAGCTCAGCCTCTTGAGTAGTTAGGATTATAGGCATGAGCCACTGGCACCCTGCTCCTTTTCCTTTTTTTTTTTTTTTTTTTGGTTGGTTGTGGGGCTTGAACTCCAGGCCTGGGTGCTGTGCCTGAGCAAGGCTAACATTCTATCACTTTGAATCACAGCGCCACTTCTGGTTTTCTTGTGCTTATTTGGAGTCTCATGGACTTTTTCCTGCCCAGGCTGGCTTTGAACCACAATCCTCAGATCTGAGGAATCAAACCCATGCATGTTAGGCAAGCATTCTACCACTAAGCCACCTTTCTAGCCTTGGCTTTCACTGTCTAATGTTGCTTAGAGGTGTTGGCTGAGTGTGTCCTTGTAAGTAGAAGATGGTTTTCACTATGAACATTCTTTTGTGTGTTTTTTGTTGTTGCTATTGTCGGTCATGAGGCTTGAACTCTGGGCCTGGGTGCTTCACTGTGACCATTTCTGTAGGATGCTGAATCCATGCTAAGACACACAACAGTTATAAATACTGTCACTGTGAATCATTAAGCCAATAGACCAGTTCTTTAAATGAACCCAGCTCAGTGTTGAAAGACATCAGGGACACTGAGTGCTACAATTACTGCTCAGGGCTTTTCCCCTTGGGAGTCTTGCACATCTAATCCCAGCCCAGTTTACAGGCACTTTAAAGGAAAGCAGTTACACTGTATTCTTACAATATGATACCACTCAGGAATCTTGCTTTCTGCAATTAAAATGAGCCTGGTTGGCTGGACTGCTGATGATTCTTAGTAACTGGTGTCTGCAGAATTTCCTGTGGACCTGGTATTTTCTATTTTTGTGAGGTAGGCGAGGGGCTTTGTTGGACTGGGTTGTGGGACTCCTGTTTATGAGAAGGAGTGATCTGTTCAGGCACAGGGTTTGGGCTCTCACCAGAAATTGTATTAGTTTTGTAATTTTTGCCATGGTCTTTGAAAAAATTGGGCTAGACACTGGTGGCTCACAGCTATAACTCTAGCTACTGAGGAGACTTGAGATCTAAGGAGCATAGTTCAAGGCCAGCTTGGGCAAGAAAGTCTGTGAGACTGTTATCTTTAGTTAAGTACCAAAAAAGCTGGAAGTAGAGCCGTGGCTCAAGTAGTAGTGTTAGCCTTGAGGACAAAAATTCACCAACAGCACCCAAACCCTGAGTTTAAGTCCCAGGACTGGCGCGCATTAGCGCATGCATGTGCGCATGCACACACATAATTGTTTTTTGCCTTTTTGTTTGTGTTGTTTTGTATCTAATCTCTTTTAAATTTGTAGTGGTTAATTCTCTGATTATCACTCTCATAAGAAGCTACCTGCCTTTAGAGTTTTCATTAGGCCAATGGGTCAAGTTTGCTGTCCAACTTAAGTCTGAGGTCTATATTATTTTTAGTTTATATTATTGTATAAGGTAATGGATGTCTATACTCTACTATTTTATTAATGCATACTATTGTATTTATTGTTTTTATAAATAGTCATGCATCTTTTTTAGTATAAGAGAATGTGGGTGGGAATGGGCATATTTGATTTTTGTCAGGCTAATTTATTTGGTTTCCTGTGTATCCTCTTGATAGCTTTATTTTTTCCAGTTCCTCGGTAACTCATCATATAAACACCTTGAGAAACCCAGGGTGTGTTCTAATATGATTTATATGATTCTTTGCTATTTATTTAAAAAAAACAGTATTGGGGTATGTAATTCCAGCTCTTGGGAAATGGAGGCAGGAGGATTGCTAGTTCATTGCCAGCCTGGGGCTACATAGTGATAGTCTGCCTCAAAAAGAAAATATTCACAATATATTCTTTGTGGTTTTTTTTTTTTTTGAGGGAAGGGGTTGTTTTTTGTTTTTGATAGTGCCAAGAATTAAACTCAGGTCTTACACATTCTAGGCAAGTGCCCATTACTAAGCTATATCTCTAACCTCTGGATTTTTCGAATCAAGACCTCACTAATTTTTCCCTGCCCAAAAGCAATTAGTTAAAATGAATTTGGACTTGAGCTCCTCTTGTCTCTTCCTCCTAAATGCTGAAGGTGTCTGCCACCATACCTGGCCTTTTACTATATCTTATTCCTGAGGTTCCACCTGATTGATGCAGCAGGTCAAATTGAAGAGAGTCCATATGTCTCTTTTCATGTTTATTTATTTATTTATTTTTGGTCTGGTTGCGGGGCCTGAATTCTGGGCCTGGGCGCTGTCCCTCAGCTCTTGAGCTCAAGGCTAGCGCTCTTCCACTTGAGCCACAGCACCACTTCCAGTTTTCTGGTGGTTTACTGGAGATAAGAGTCTCATGGACTTTTCTGCCTGGGCTGGTTTTGAACTGTGATCCTCAGATCTCAGCCTCTTGAGTAGCTAGGATTACAGATGTGAGCCACTAACACCCAGCTTGGTACCATTTTTCTAGCTGGGGCATTTTGCACTCTTTTGCTCAGGATCTATAGTAGCATCATCTCACAAAACATACCAGTGGGCTGAGAGGTAAATTTGGTGAAAGGAAGCAGATGCTCAAGGCCCAGTTGAATAGGAGAATTAATATTGACTTATAGGGGAGAGGAATATTGTATTAACTGTGCTTGTCTGTACTTACAGTTCAGAATAATTGGGAAGATTGTGTTAAAGCTGAATTCATGTAGGTTTCTGTAGTACATTCTTTAGCCTCTGATCACCAGATGTAGAAACTCTTGACTTTCCGATTCTATCACATTAGAAGGTACCTATTAAGTATTTGGAAGTTAAGTTTGTTTGGGGGTGGCATCATTGATTATAGAAGAGTGTCAATTTTGATTCAGGAATTGTACTGCTAGCCCTTGATGACTGGGGTTAACCTTATAGGTACAATAGAAAGATCCGTACTGTTGCCAAGGCAACTAAGGTTCAAGATCATCCAGTCTCCAGGCAACCAAGTCTTCAGATTTGCTTCAAATACTTTTGCAGTCACTCTCACAAGAGGCCCTTCCTTGCCTTTCCCTCCCAGCTTTGACACCTCAGGAGGAAGAGAGCCTGAGAAACCATGGAATAATGTGAGATTTGAAATTTTTTCACTTGTTTGTCTGCCTGGTATTGAAGCACATGGTACACTACTGTGCTTCATCCCCAGGTTTTGAAATTTATACCTAGAAAAGCATGTGGATTTGGTGAAGGCTATGTCTACAGTAGGCAAGAAAAATCAGATTACAGAGAAAGGAGGACAGGTCTTCCCTATCCTTGAATCTGAAACACACTATCATCAGTTTTTTTTTTTTTTGGGTCCGGTTATGGGGCTTGAACTCTGGGCCTGGGCGCTGTCCCTCAGCTCTTCAGCTCAAGGCTAGCGCTCTACCACTTGAGCCACAGCGCCACTTCCGGCTTTTTTTCATTTTGCTTATGTGGTGCTGAGGAATCGAACCCAGGGCCTCAGGCATGCAAGGCAAGCGCTCTACCACTGAGCCACCTTCCCAGCCCATCAGTTTGTTTTTTTAAACAGATACTATTACAGTCTCACACTCTGGATTCTTGTAAAGCTTTCTGAGCTTGTAAAGGTCAACTCATTACTGTCAAATTGGACTTGTAAAAGAAGTGGCATGGTTGCTTCCTTACCCAGCATGTGAGAGTGTGGATGGCCTGAAGGTGGTTTATATCAGAGTTCTTCTCTTTCTGACATCATAAGAAGTTACCGGTGTCTTGGACAGCATAAGATAAGCTACCATTTGCCTACAGCAGAGAATGCTGGCAGTTCCAAGGGCATGAGGGCCATGGAAAGTCAGACTGCAGACTGACCATGTTAGGCTCTAAGATACTTTGAAAAGGCTCTACTTCGTTGAAGAACTTCCAGAGAATTGACCTGGGCCACTTGAGTTGGAACAGAAAGCGCACTGCCAGCATTATTGGGCTACTAATTTATGTCACTGGAGGCAGCTTTTCCTCTAATTGATCTCGTTACTGAACTAATGTTAAAACTTGCTATTTGTCCTTAGGAAAACAAGTAGGAAAAGTAAAATTCAGAGGCTAAAGAAATGCTGATATGGTATCCACCATATCATTGATAGCAGCTTCTACACTCCTTAGTTGTTTGCTTATTTTCTCTGTCATTAGATACTTCTTCCTACAACTGATTTTTCTTTTTTCAGTTTTGCCAGTCCTGAGGCTTGAACTCAGGGCCTGGGCACTGTCTCTACTTCTTTTGCTCAAGGCTAGCTCAAGCCATAGCACCGCTTTTGGCTTTTTCTGTGTATATAGTACTGAGGAATTGAACCCAGGGCTTCATGCATGCTAGGCAAGCTCTCTACCACTAAGCCACATTCCCAGGCCATACAACTGATTTTTTCTACCTTCATTGCCATTATTTCTGAAGAAGAGTGAGCTGCCCAGGGTAACAACAACAGGAATCACAGCAGCCAACCATTTTCTGTGTGCTCACTTTAGTTTTATTTTTTTTGTCAGTCGTGGGGTATGAACTCTGGGCCTGGCCACTGTCCCTCAGTTCTTCAGCTCTACCACTTGAGCCACAGCACTTCCAGCTTTTTCTGTTTATGAGGTGCTGAGGAATCAAACCCAGGGCCTAATGCATGCAAAGCAAGCACTCTACCACTGAGCCACCTTCTCAGCCCCAGTGTGTGCTCACTTTGTGGGTAGTGCTCTGCATGGCTAGCCTCCTTTGATCCTTAAGATGTAATGGTCTGAAGAGACCTACTGCAGAGAATACCAATGGTGTGCTGTGTGTCTATTCTATAGATAAGGAATCAGAAGCACCAAGTGCAGAACTGCCAACTATAAGCTGGCTTTCCAGACCTCACTTTTTTCCTTCTTTCCTTTTTCTTTCCCTCCTTCCCTCTTTCTCTGAGCTTTTACTCAAGGCTAGCACTCTACCACTTTGAGCCTCAGATCCATTTATGGCTTTTGTGTGGTTAATTGGAGATAAGAGTCTCACAGATCTTTTCTGCCTAGGTTAGCTTGGAACCATAATCCTTAGATCTCAGCCTCCTGAGTAGCTAGGATTAAAGGCATAAGCCATTGGCATCCTGTGCCCCTTGGGTTTTCAACTCCGGGTTTGAGACTACTTCCTTCCAAAAAGAAAAAGGAGGCTATGTTATACTTTGTAGTGCTTGGGCTTTAACTCAGGGGTTGTGTATGCTAGGCTAGTACTATACCAGTGAGCTATATATCCAGCCCAGGGACATAAGAAATTCTTGGACTGGGGATGTGGCTTAGTGGTAGAGTGCTTGCCTTGCATGCATGAAGCCCTGGGTTGGATTCCCCAGTACCACATAAACAGAAAAAGTTAAAAGGGGCTGGGAAGGTGGCTCAGTGGTAGAGTGCTTGCCTTGCATGCTTGAGGCCCTGGGTTCAATTCTTCAGCACCACATAAGCAGAAAAATTCAGAAGTGGCGCTATGGCTCGAGTGGTAGAGCACTAGCTTTGAGCTGAAGAGGTGCGGGAGAGTGCCCAGGCCCAGAGTTCAGGCCCCATGACTGGCCAAAACAAAACAAAAAAGTTGGAAGTGGTACTGTGGCTCAAGTGCTAGCCTTGAGCAAAAGAAGCTCAAGGGCAATGCTTAGGCCCTAAGTCCCAGGACTGGCAAAAAGAAAAAGAAAAAAGAAAAAAAATTCTTATTGAAACTCTTTTCATGGCTTGAGTTTAAAAAATCTGTACTAGATTCCATTTCGAAATTTCTTCTTGCCTTTCACTAAGGGAGGTACCATCTTGTCCTCCCTACTTTCCCTTCTCTTCCTCTGCCCAGTGCTTGGCTGCTTCAGACTCAGGCACTGACAGGAACTCTGACTAGTGTGCATTGAATAGTTTTTAAAGCCTGGAAAACCTATATCTATAATTAGCCTGAAAAAATACTTTGAATATAAAGTAGGGAGTAGAAATAGAGGATTAGAAATGGAACCTACCTTCCAACAGGGACTTTTCAATTTGCTTCTCTTTATCTTTCTTTTTGGCATTTACTTTGGCCATCTGTCATCTTTTAGGCTAATATTGTTGATAAATGACTGGAACACTGTGGTAATTCTTCGCTGTTCTATTGGCTGATGCTTAATTTCTACATGAGATAGTTCTTTGGCCCAGTGAAGTACAAGTGGACTGGGACAGAAGCCCAGGAAACTTCCAGCTCACTTCTTGGCTCCTCTCCTAAAGCTCAGTATTTTGATCTAGCTTCATATATAAAATGGGCACTAGTTAATATTTGTGATGATCTTGAATAAAATAGTGTGGGAGATGTTTATAACCTCCAAGGCATTAGGAAAGAGCAGTTATTTTGCTTACTTTTGACCTCTTGGGCAATGGGTTGGTTCTTTCCAAGGTTTTCTGTGGTGAGGGTTGGCACAAGTTGGGTCAAGGTCAAAGGCAATGAGCAGAAGTTACTGGAGTCCCTCTTCCATGGTGGTGCTTGTAAGAAATCTGCTATAGCAGTGAGGATCCTGGGAAGGCAGGAGAGGAAGCACCACGGCACAGACTGTCTACTGAGGGCCTTCATGTCGCCACCTTCTCTCATTGGCAGGCGCTGAGTGACCGCTTTAGCGGTGAGATCCCTGATGACCAGATGGCGCACAGCTCCTTTTTTCCAGATGAGTACTTTACCTGCTCCTCCCTGTGCCTCAGCTGTGGGTAAGTGAGGCCAGCTGTGCCCATCGCCCACCTTGGGACTAGAGATTAAGTGGTACTTGCAGATTGGTGTGCTTTACCCAGAGTCTGGGTAAAAGGTTTTTATTCCAGTGATGGGGGTGAATCAGGTGCATTGCTGACCAGTACCTAAGTGATCCTGATGGTCCAGGAACCATACTTTGAGTTAGCAAGGGCTTCAAGGGTACATGGTTTTGAAGGATTCCTTGAAGATTTTAAACTATGATATGGAGGTGAAGTTGAGTGGTTTTTCGTTTGGGCATTTGTTATAGAAGACCTTGGGTTGTCTGCTTTTCTTTCTTTTTAGCCACTGTTTTTGATCATTTATTCAGAGTATTCTTTTTATTCAGCTAATATTCACTGTGATGTAGGTATTGGTTGTAGGTAATTCCTTCCATTATGCAGACAAATGCTTGGAGCACATTTTCCAGGGAACATTCAGAAAGGAGGCCAAGGCCCCACCTCCAAGAGATTCCTATTTACAGGATCTAGGGTGTGGCTTTAGCATTGGTGTATTTCAAAGGTTACTGAGATGATTCAGTTATGTAGCTTAGACTGAGGATTCTGAATTGCATGGCTGGGCGGGATCTGAGATGCTTATTAGTCTTGACCATGCTTGAAGGTGTTGCAGTGTTCCCAATGTTGGACTCCACTTTGTTATAGAGGGATCAGAGGGGTGATTCTCAGATGTGAGTGTGTATCAGAAACCTGAAGAGTGTGTTAAACGATTGTTTACCTTCACCCCATTTTCCTCATTTAGTAGGTCCAAGGAAGTACCTGAGATTTCACAATTTTAACACATTCCCAAATGGTGCTCTGGTGTTGCTTGTCAGAACTACACCTTAAGGATTACTGTATTAGTTTAAGCTGTTGATAGCTATTAAATTACAGTTCGACTTGTCTGATGGGCCCGAGGGATTTAAAGGCAGCATCAAGGTCAGATTGTAGTCTTCCTGTTCTGCAGACACTGCCCCAGTCCCCTTGACATTGAATTGTTTTCATCCATATCAGGACACACTGCCTTTGTCTGAGCCCACCTCTGTCATGTATGGCCTTTGGCATCGTTGAAGTCCGTCGGTGGCTTGCTGGTACTAAACCACCTCTGATTTTGGTTTAAAAAAAAAAAAAGGCTTTGGATTTTACAGTTGTAGACTAGGAGAACTAAGGATGACCTTGGAGACTTCAGCTTGAGGAGTGGACTGTTAGTTGCCAGTGTGATTTACCTTCCTTATTGCTGATCCCATGAACCGAGAATGAGGGGCTTAAGCACTGTTGGATAATTACTTTCCAGTTCTAACTGAGCCTCAGCAGTTTCCAAAGTTTTTTCTACTATCACAGTGACTTTTTAAGTTGTGATCTCTGTTTTGCCTTGTCAGGATGGCCCAGTTCATTGTTCATCTGAGTTTTTCTTATTTAGTGTAGGCCTTCCTTTAATGTTTTGCCAAGTTTTTGGAGTTAGTTTTTGTTTAGCATTTTGGCAGCCTCTTCTGGCTTTTCTCTTTTTTTTTTTTTTTTTGGTGCTAATCCTGGGGCTTGCTTGCACTCAGGGCCTAGGCACTGTCCCTAAGTTTTGTTTTTTTTTCTCTACCACTTGAGCAACAGCTCCACTTCCTGCTTTTTGGGGATTAATTGGAGACAAGAATCTCATAGACTTTCCTACTTGGGCTGGTTCTGAACTACGGTCTTCTTGAGTAGCTAGGATTATGGAAGTGAGCCACCAGTTCCTGACTTTAATTTTCCATTTTATCCTTTTGGATTTTTAGTTTCATAGGATCTGTTTGCTAGTACTGGGCTTAAACTCAGGGTTTGGGTGCTATCCCTCAGCTTGTTTACTCAAGGCCGGCACTCTGCCACTTGAACCACGGTTGCACTGCTTTTTAGTGGTTTATTGGAGGTAAAAGAGTATCAAGGAATTTTCTGCCCAGGCTAGTTTTGAACCAAGATCATCAGATCTTAGCCTTGAGTAGGTAAGTATACAGGCATGAGCCACATGAACCCAGAGGTGTTCAGATTTCATTTCTGGGTAAGTTATCTTTTGACTCCTCCATGTCGATTTTGCTTTTTTCCCTTTTGCTTTTTCGCCTTACAAAGTAATAGTTGTTCTACCTCTGTCATGCTGTTGGTTACAGCAATCAGAGAGGAACATATGGGTGAAACACTCTTTGTGCTAAGCACCAAAGCCCGGTTAGCACCCAGCTCTGTTTTCAGGCCTGTGCCTGGCTCAGGATCAAACTCTTCTGGTAAGTGACACTGGCTCCCTAGTCTTCTCATTGTCAGTTTTGGGCTTCCCTCAGGGCTGGCTGTAAGAACAGCATGAATCATGGAAAGGAAGGAGTGCCTCATGAAGCCAAGAGCCGCTGCAGATACTCCCACCAGTATGACAACCGGGTTTATACCTGTAAGGTGAGTCTTTTACACTCTCTTTCCTTTAGTGGCCATCTTGTTAGGTGTGCTCCTATTGGAAGGGTTTTCTCAGGCTGCCTTTGTAATACGCTAAAGTATTAGCATTCAAATTGAATGCTTGGAACTGCTCAGCTCTCATGGCCCCTTTGGTTTATTAAATCAGCTTCTGTTGAGCTCCTTTATAAGGATCATATACACGGACCATTCATTTTCCTCCTAGAAGTGCTTTTCAGGAAATTGGTTTTGATGGCTTTCTCCTGTGTATGACAGTAGAATAATTTTGAGCTTTGTTTTAGGGCTGCCATATAGTTCACTATTATCCAGGGCTTCACTGGCTTCTTTAAAGAAATGAACTTCCTCCTGAGGTGCTGAAGTTTATAGTTTCTGGGGTTGGAGGAGGGGAAGAGGTCCTGGGTTCTAGAATAAGCTGGCAGAGTGCTTCATGTTTCAGGCCTGCTATGAGAGGGGCAAGGAAGTCAGCGTGGTGCCCAAAACATCTGCTTCCACTGACTCTCCCTGGATGGGTCTTGCAAAATATGCCTGGTCTGGGTAAGTTTACCAACAGAGCTAAATGGTATGTAAAGTTTTGTCTCCCCAGCATATGTCTGGGAAACACTATTTGTCTCTCTTGTAGGTATGTAATTGAATGTCCTAACTGTGGTGTGGTCTATCGGAGTCGACAGTACTGGTTTGGCAACCAAGATCCTGTGGATACGGTGGTGCGGACAGAGATTGTGCATGTGTGGCCTGGAGTAAGACCTGTTCCATTGACTTTCCTCCTTCTTTCACTTAGACCATTCGGTTATTGGTGTGTTGGGAGAGGTGGAGCTTGTTTTGAAGGAAAATCAGCCATGAATTTCAGTGTATCAGTGATTTAGAAGTGCTCTGGGATGGATATCAATTGGCTGATGCCTATAATCCTAGCTACTCAAGAGGCTGAGATCTAAGAGTCATGGTTCTAAGCCAAAGTAGGCAGAAAAGTCTTATGAGACCCATATCTCCAATTAATCACACAAAAAAGCCAGAAGTGGAGGTAGGAGGATCCCTTGAGCTCAGAAGTTTGAGACCAAACTGGGAATATGGCATGGCCCTGAACAAAACAAAACAAAACAAAAATAAAAGGCTGGGCGCTGGTGGCTCATCCCTGTAATCCTAGCTACTCAGGAGGCTGAGATCTAAGGATCACAGTTCAAAGCTAGCCAGAGCAAGAAAGTCCATGAGACTCTTTTTTGTTGTTGTTGTTGTTCGGTTGTGGGGCCTGAACTCTGGGCCTGGGTTCTGTCCCTGAACTCTTCAGCTCAAGGCCAGAGCTCTACCACTTGAGCCACTGTGCCACTTCTGGCTTTTTCTGCTTATGTGGTACTGAGGAATGGAACCCAGGGCCTTGTGCATGCAAGGCAAGCACGCTACCTCTGAGCCACCTTCCCAGTGTCCACAAAACTTTTTTTTTTTTTTTAGTCAGTCATGGGGCTTGAACTCTGGGCCTGAATGCTGTCCCTCAGCTCTTCAGCTCAAGGCTATGCTCTAGCACTTGAGCCACTGTGCCACTTCTGGCTTTTTCTGCTTATGTGGTACTGAGGAATGGAACCCAGGGCCTTGTGCATGCAAGGCAAGCACGCTACCTCTGAGCCACCTTCCCAGTGTCCACAAAACTTTTTTTTTTTTTTTAGTCAGTCATGGGGCTTGAACTCTGGGCCTGAATGCTGTCCCTCAGCTCTTCAGCTCAAGGCTATGCTCTAGCACTTGAGCCACTGTGCCACTTCTGGTTTTCTGAGTGATTTGTTGGAGATAAGAATCTCATGGACTTTCCTGCCCGGGCTGGCTTTGAACTGCAATCCTCAGATCTCAGCCTCCTGAGTAGCTAGGATTACAGGCGTGAGCCACTGGTGCGTGGCCCCCATGAGACTCTTATCTTAAATTAATCACCAGAAAAACCGGAATGGTGCTGTGGCTCAAGTGGTAGAGCACTTGCCTTGAGCTGAAGAGCCGAAGGACAGTGCCCAGGCCCAGAGTTCAAGTTTCACAACTGGCCAAAAAAAAAAAAAAAGTCAGCCGGGTGCTGGTGGCTCACGCCTGTAATCCTAGCTACTCAGGAGGCTGAGATCTGAGGATCGCGGTTCAAAGCTAGCCCAGGCAGGAAAGACCGTGAGACTCCTATCTCCAATAAACCACCAGAAAACCAGAAGTGGCGCTGTAGCTCAAGTGGTAGAGCGCTCGCCTTGAGCTGGAGAGCTGAGGGACAGCGCCCAGGCCCAGAGTTCAAGCCCCACGACCAACAAAAAAAAAAAGTCACTATTCACACTTGGTGAGAGTTTGTTCTAATCCAGCAAAACACTAGGGTAGCAATTTGTTCCTTGGTTTGGTTGTATTTCTCATAGTTCTTTTGATTAGGAGAGTACTTTGCTTTTGGTCCGTCTATCCATCATTTCACCATGTGTTGTTAAAGGACTGTGTGCCATGAATTGTGCTAGATTCTTTGGAAAAGAGAAATCATTATTCCCAGAAAGTTTTGTCTAGCAGGAAGTCAAACCCATAATAGCTATTATACTCACAGAAGTCAAATTCCTAGAGATGGCTGGTAGCAGAAGAACTGTGGAATAGGGAGAGGAGGTATGACCTTCTATACTGTAGGGACAAGTTAGTCCTGATTGAACAGCTGCCCACCAATCAAGTTTTTGGATTACCTTGATTAGAATATGTCAGTGCTGACTGATTGCAGACTGCACTGTCCTAAGGCCAGAAAGCTTTCTGGTCTGTCTCCATTTTCCCCTGCCAGGGAGTTTAGAGTTTTGTGTTGGCCACTAGATACCCTTTTCCTTCTCATCCTTTTCTTCCTTTAATTCAGAGTATGATGGGAGCCTGCATTTTCTTTTCAGACTGATGCATTTCTGAAGGACAACAACAATGCTGCCCAGCGCTTGTTGGATGGGATGAACTTCATGGCTCAGTCTGTGTCTGAGCTCAGCCTTGGGCCCACCAAGGCTGTGACTTCCTGGCTGACAGATCAGATTGCTCCAGCCTACTGGAGACCCAATTCCCAGATCCTGGTATGGTATGCCCAGACACCCCTGCATTTCCTGCTACAGCCTGTCCTGCTGATGCCACTTTGCCACATGCTAAGTTAGTTCAGCAAGGAAGGTCAACAAATTTTTCCCCAGTGCAATTATCTCTAAGAGTATAGAAAAGAGAAACTTTGAAGCAGCTAGGTACCTCTTTGCTCATGGCTTTCCTTTTGTGTTATTCTGCAAGTATTTTATCTTGTGTGTGTATGTGTGTGTGTGTGTGTGGAAGAGGAGGGAGGAAACTGGGATTTTTAGGTCAGAGCAGACACTCTTATCACTTGAATCAGTCCACCACCCCTTTTTGGGTTAGATATTTTATTACTTTTAAAAAATATGTAATTTCATTGTTATTAAGGTGTTGTACAGATATGTTACTATTTCATGTCTTTTTTTTGACATTTACTACTTCCTTTGCTTTCCCTAGTTTCCCACTCCCATCCCTGCCCACAACTTGCATAGTTCATTTTCCGTAGAGTGTATACTGAATTGGATTGGTTATTTTCAAGATAGTCTCATTTTATGGCTGAGCTATCCTAGATTGTGATCTTCTTCTTTTTGCTTTTCTGCATCACTGGGGATGACATGTATGTGCTACAGCACCCAGACATTGTGCTTTCCCATACACCATTGTACCCAGCATGGGTCAAGATGGAGTCTTAGGAATGTTTATGTTTTGCTTTTGTTTTTGTTTTTTTTTGGGGGGGGGTCTGGTCGTGAGGCCTGAACTCTGGGCCTGGGCGCTGTCCCTCAGCTCTTCAACTCAAGGCTAGCGCTCTACCACTTGAGCCACAGTGCCACTTCCGGCTTTTTTCTTTTTGCTTATGTGGTGCTGAAGAATCGAACCCAGGGCCTCAT